GTTTAACCCTCCCACCGTCTTTATGGGTGACCCAGCGAGGAAAGTTGACCATTGAGCAGGATGATGGTGGACCTCAGGGATGAACCATCAATCCTGCTCAATGTTGGGATGGTGGGAGGGTTAAATATCAGAGAAAGACTCAATTACAGATATAAAAACAAGGTCTGTTTTTAAAAAATAAATTACACAATTCATGTAAATAATACTCAAATGCTCACATTATCCCAATCAAACACAATTCTGGACTCCAAACACGTGAAAAATCTTGAAAATCTGCCATAAAAACAGTGTTAGAAGCAGAACTTCCAACACACTGAAATGAAAGGGGTTGTGATGTCATACTGACTAGGAGAAAACATGTAAACTTGGCCTCAGACTGATGAAGAAATGCACCTGACATGATGTTTGATAAAAAGTCAAACCGCATAAATAAAGAATAGGCACACAAACACCCAGAGCCAGGGCATCCTGGTACTAACAGCTTGGTTTTTGTCCCCGGGGTCCTGGCAGCTTCTGGCGTTGTTATTTGGTTTTAGATCTTCAGGATTTCCCTCAAAGTGGACGGGAACGCACTGGTTCTCCAACACTTCACAGGCCAGGATCAGGTGTTTGGATTCCTTCTTGATGCTTTTGATGCCGCAGGTTCCCAGCTCGCTCCTCACGGTGAAAAACGTGAACCGCTGCTGGCTGATGCACAGGTTGTCCTTCAGCACCTTCCCCCTGCTGGAGCACACAGATCTCACCTCCTCCAGGTCCTCCGGGTGGAGGAAGGACTGAGTGGGTCTGTCGCAGCCTCCCAGACTCTGGATGTACTTCCTCCACTCTGCACGATCCTCGGAATTAGGAGTTCCACTGGGAAGGTGGCGTCTGACGAAAGTGTTGTAGCCGTTGTTCCACTTGGAGGGCTGGCAGGGAGCGTCGTTCCTGGCAGATGTGGTCTGAGTCAGCAGGAGGCAGACGGCCATGGAGAGAAGCACGCAAGCAGCCATGATTCCTGTAAGAGGACAACTCAGATAACAACCATGTGAGCTGGCTTCGACATGCATTCCTGTTTGTTTATTCAACCTTTCCGATAAATGACCAAAATAAACAACAACATTTACATAAAAGCTTTATAAACGCACACCGCTGCGAGTCTGAGCGGTCTCTAAACGCGAACAGCTGAAAGAAACGTCCCTACCTGGCTCCAGCAGCAGAAAACCTTCTGCTACCGTTTAGTTTGTCACTTCCGGTTTGACGCATGGGAGTGGGCGTGGCCTGGTGGTCACGTGCTTCAGCACAGATATCCAATTACAGCTAAAACACGACTTGAAGATCCAGTCCAACTATTGCAGGGACTTTGTTGTAGTTCTGTTTGAAACCTCATGCTCTTATTGTAACTATGGAAAGCCATTACACTCAAAATTAAAATAGCTTAAAACAACAAATAGATGAATGAAAACTATTAAATGCTCTACCAAACAAATGACAAATAAGAACATGAAATAAAAAGAGCCTCAAACGTACAAGTTCGTTTAAAAGTTTTTCAAAATCCATGACATACACAATAATTAAATAAACAAATTTAAGTTTCCTAAAATGAATCACAACTTTTTAATAATTAAGTAAATAAATAAATACTGTCAGTATTTACTAAATCCTGCAGCAAATAGAAAATAAATGTGAGCACAGGAAAAAAAGAGCCTGAAACTAAATTTGTTTAAAAATAAAGTCCAAACACATAATAAAAATAAAAATGAAACCCAAGATGAAACACCATTAAAAACTGAGATAAATTAATAAATAACATAAAGTGTTTGAGAAAACAAGCTTTTATTCTTCAAAAAATGTTTTCTATTTCTCTTTCACGGGGATATTAATTTATCTGATGGGAGTGTTAGTTAATAAAACTGTTTATTTTATTGAATTATTGGTTTGGTTGTTTATTACTTTATTCAATTCATTATTTATTCAGTTGTTTATTAAATTTTGAATTAAACAACTTTCCATGTATTTGAAGTTATTTTACATGACAATGGACCAAATTACTCAGAATTACCTTACTAATGGTTGCTAAAATATAGCAAGCCAACTTGTCACATAAACGTTTAACAGGCAAAGGAGATAACCATAATTAATTATTTGGCTAAATGTTATTCACCGTTGGACAAATCCTCGGAAAAAAATTACCTTTCAGCTTTTTCGTTAAATTCAAAGTTTTAAATTAAATCTGAAAATCTAAACTTGAGTTTTCACTAAAAGAATATTTACTTACATTTAAACGGATTTTTTTTGTGAGTGTTAAGTTTCATTTCAGAGATACAACCTGAAAAATCATTCCTGTATTCAGGATGTCCAGTATTTCTAATGAGTTCAAAAGCAAATTTAGACCAGATCTACTAAAAATCTACAAAATATTTAGGAAACATGTTAAACTGATGCAAATTTAACATGAAGTAGGTCATTAATAAAAGACACAGACAGATGTGCAGCTGATCAAAAAAGAGGAAAGGTTTCTTGATGTCAGTTTCTGCTTGCCAAAATCAATCTGTGCATTTCTATTTGCACTGTTGTGCTTCCTGTTTCAGTCTCAGTTCAAAAGGCTGCTGACCTGAGAAACCAAACATTCATGCAGTGAACCTCTGACACTACGCAGCTGATCAGTTCTGGTCTACATAAAAAAACACTACATTTAAGAAAAGCGTTTAACTAAATGAAAGAAAAGATGTAGTGTGTGTTAAAAGGACAACGCCACTGACTTTCAATGGTTTTCAAGGTGTTGAACGCTTGTTTAGTCCACACATTTGCAGTGGACTAGTGAAAACAGGTGCATCATTTTTAGGGTCTAGTAGTGAGCCACATCAGAGATCTCCTCTGATTGGCTAACAGCAACACGACTCTACCACTGACTCTGGTTGATCTGCAACGTTGATGTTTTATCTCCTCTAATAACACGAGCCTGGAGGAGTTCTGCTGTGTGGTGGAGCTGCTAATGCTAACAGTTAGCTTCTACTAGCTGAGACGTTCTCTGCTGTTTCCTGGACGCTGAACCAACAACAGCCTTCCCCGACGTGAGTCCAGATGGGTGAGTCCATGAATGTTGGTGACAGCGTGACGTAGATCTGTCAGGATTTTCTAATCCTAGAGTTTCACCGTCTGTTTTCATTCAGAAGCTAATGCAGGAGATAGGTGTAGGAGACTATTTTCATGTTCAGCCTGCATGAAAACTCAGAGTGACCCATTAGACTCAGAGAAGTAATGATTTAAATTACATGTTATTTGAGCCATACGGCCTAGGATTCCAAAGGAATTATGAAATCCACCTTACGGATCTGTGAGGTTATTTTAAACCAGAAGATTGGAACTTTTTATTGCAGGGATTATGTAACAGCTTCGTGTTCACTCAGAGACAACAGAAGAGAGAGTCAAGTTTAAAAGTTAAGAATTTTATTACTAACAAATTAAACTAGACTGACTTTAAACACTACATGTGTGGTGTAACTAAGGTGGATGAGACGGTGAATGGATGACGTGTGACGTTAATCAGAACCAGCAAATCCGAAGAAGCGATTAGTTCTGATGGGAACTGAAGGTGATGTCTTCGCGTTAAGCTTTGGTTAGGAGATTCATAAACACATGAGACACCATTTGCCGGTCTACCTACCCTTCAGGAAGTCCCCTTTAGGTCAGGAATGTTGAGGTCCAGCTTGACCTTCTCTGGAACTGAGCTGGTAGCAAAAGCAGCGGTTGCCGACCAGTCCAGTTACTTACGGGTCGCGACAATTTGTTGGCGTCTGGTGAGACCCAAGCCTGGGTCTTGATGGTTCAGCTTTATTCTGAAAGGAACTGTTGCTGCAGTTGGAATAGCAACGATTTTTCAGCTTGTCATTCTTTTGGTTTAAGAGGAGAGTTACGGATTGGCCACTCCGACACTTTCTCTAGAACGCTTTGAACTGGCGTTAGAGATGACGGGGCATAGTTATATACTTCGAATGTTTTGGTTTGTGGTCGAATGAAAAATTACCAAACTCCATCAGAACCACTCCTCCGTCAGATCTGTCAGATTCTGATTGGATCAGTGAAAGTAATGTGTCATGTCTTTTAACGCCACGTGAGATCAGTCCTGTTGGAACATTTAAAGTCATTGTTACGTCCCGACAGGTGTTGGTAAAAAGTGAAGGAGGGGGTATCATAAGAAAGATGACGGTTGAGTTTATTTGTTTGGATTCACCAATAGGGGGCGATAAAGAGTCAAAAAGTTTTTTTCAGCAAAACGGCTTGATGGATTTCAACAGAACTTGGCAGATATGTTTATCATCGGACCCTTAAGCTCTATTTCGAAAATGATTAAAAAGTGGGCGTGGCTTATAGGCTTTAAAATTTTTCACCCTTCTACTCATGAAAAATATATATTCTGTAAAGAAAGTTACAAATCATATCAGTCATAGGGACATCTACAATCACAGAAAAATTTTTGAATTTTGTCCAATAGGTGGCGCTGTTGTAGCCAAAAAATGTTTTTGGCATGTTGCTCCTCAATTTTTTAGTAAAAAAAACAAATGATCTCATCAAGCATGTTCATTGAGTCAGTCAAATTTAGATGAGTATTTTAAAATATGTTTTAAACTTATGCAAATTAGAAGAAATTTGCATAGTAAGTCAAACGTACTTTCGTTAACTCCTCCCGGCCGTCAAACACAATCAAATCAAAACATAGCCTGACAAGAGAGGAGGAGCAGCTGACCAAACATTGTGAACGGATTTTGGATAATTCGCTTATTTTTGAAATATGACTTTTTAAAATATTTTTTTGGAAGGACATTTTTTTAGCATAACTTCAAAAGATTTTGACATTTTTCAAAGCTGTTCATAGCAATCATACCTTAGGTCAATTCAAGTGTATGTCTTGATTTTCAACTTGATTCAACAATAGGGGGCGCTATAAATAGGAAAAATTATACTGCTGAACCGACTAAATGGATCTGCACGAAACTTAGTGGTTGTCATCATTATAGAGTCTTAAGACTATATTATCACTGGTAATGATTGATTAAAGTGGGCGTGGTTTATGATCATTTAAAATTTCAAATTTGAAAAATTTCCTAAAAATCATTTGCACGTAAGAGGCTAAGATTTTCAGGTTGTGTTAACTGGGTAGCCTTGAGCTTATGTAACGAAAATCGCAGCTCCACGAAGAGGTTTGCGCTTTATATTTACGAAAATACATTTTTAGGCTAGCAATTGTAGCGCAAATTCTGTTAACACAATCTTCTTGAAATGTGCCACAAAGTTCACTCTTAGGTGGTTTATGAAACACATAAAATGTCGTCTTGATTTGTTTTTAATTATAGGACTTATTTTTGTTTACAGCTACTAATGCAAATATTATTTTATTGTAAGAAAAGTTTAACGTTTAACATCCCAACAAAAATATAAGCACAATTGTCATATCACAGAGATAATCTGTGAATAATTTGAGATTTTTGTACAAAAGCTTAGATTTTTAATGAATTTTTTACTTTTTGCTAGTTTTTCTGTACAGTTGGACGAAAAAGTAAGCAATTTTTGCTAGAAAGTTTTTTAGGTATAAAATAAATATAAACCATTTACAACATTCCAAATGTACCTATGGTGATCTGAGATTTTTCTACTAATTTTAGAAAGTAGCACTATTTTTATATGAATATCTTAATTTTGTCTGTGACCCTTATAGTTATATTAACCAATTTTTCTTCAAAAAAGCTTTGAACCTACTGATTTAAAAACACATCATATTATTCTGCATGTTAACATTGCCATGTGAGAATATTTTGGTAATTTTATGATGATTTGTGCATTTTTCAGGATTTTTTAAAAACATTTGATCAGTATGTCACGAAATGAAACTCATAGTTTTTGTTGAAAATCTAGAGACATTCTCAAGTATTTATGTTATTTGTAATATTCTGTTGATGTATAGATTATTGTTTGATAATCTTTAGATCCAATATGGATTTTATAATGAAGTTTTTGTTTCGGTCAGTTTAATTTTACATATCAATATATTTATTTTTTGAAAAAGCATTTAATTTAGAATCAATAATATGATAAAACCTGATTTCTCATGACTTTGCTCATTAAATGTTCATGTTCTTTAAACAGGAAATGGTGGAATTCCATTGTAATCACGATTGAGAAGTCAGCCATGCCTGTGAAAGATATGTGTATAGGCTGTGCAAGAGGTTTAATGACGTATACTGTTACTTTCACTGCGCCGGCTGAAGTAAGCTGACGGGACGCCGGCGGGAGAACGTGTTTTTGGGGCAGGACCGCGTGAGGAATGGCGAAGGTGAGGGCGCGGCCGGGTGGGCGACTGGCGCTGGATGGCTTGGAACCCGTTGATAACTGCTTGCAGTTCTAGTTAATATTTTGATTTCACAGATAGGTCACATCTTATTTATTGACTAACACTTGGTTGGATTAGCTTTATTAAAATAGAGTTCTTTGATTAATTAAAATAAAAGAGTTCATTCTTCGTTCTTCTGTTGAGCTGAAAATAAGCAGGTTAGAAGGAATGCATGAGACCTTGAGACCATATCTCATGCAGACTAGTCTTGTGCAGAGGAAGAAAAGAAAACACAGTCATGTCATTCTGTTACAGAGATAATCATTAAAACAGGGTTTTGGGTTCCACCCCTTTAATTTAGTGCTCATGTTGGCAAATTAGATATAAGAAAATGAATCAGATATGCAGATGATCCTCTTTTCTTCACAGGGAAAGCACAAACATAAACAAAAGTCATGATTTCAACAACATCTGTTGATCCAAATTGTACAGCATCTGTGTATGCACAAGTCAGAAATGCATGAACATCTTGTTTTCATAAAAAAATCATCTTTCTTGTTCTTAGTGAAAAATAAAGCATTGCTTTACCTTTGACACATGAACCAGTGGAGCCGTAACAGCATGTTAGTGCAGTGTGCTCATGTGACAAAACAACTTCAAATCCAGGGGAAAAGAATAAAATATATATACTGCATTTTTACATTAATCACTCATCTGAGTCGTGCCTGAACACAAAATCAGCAAAACAACATTTTCAAGTGCTTTGTGTGGTTTTGGTGTGGGCGGAGTGCCGTACACCACAGCTGTAATGGAAAAGAACCTTGAAACAGTTGTGATGGAGAAAGCAGGTGTGGACGTTCTGCACCGCTTTCACTTCCTGTCGATGCTTTAAACTGAAAGTATCTTTGCATCTGTCTGGGATGAGCAGACAGCTTGGCTGAGTCTCGTGGGCCGAGCTGAATCCGGTGAAAGTTCTTCTTTCCTTTCAGGTTCTAAAGATGTGTTCAGAACCAATTCTTGATTTTTCTCTTTTGATTTTCCAGATTCGTTTATCCTGAAAGACACAAAAGAACAAATAAATCCCGTTAATTCATCCATGTAATGGTAAAGCAGGCTGTTCTCTTTCTTAGTGCACTTCCTTTGTTACCCAGAAGAGGTCCACCTTGGGTGGGTTAGTGGAGGGAGGCGTGTTAAAGGGTGCTTTGCAAAAGTATGATGTCTTCTCTGAACATCTTAGGTGTGTTCTTGCTGTGTTGTATTTCTAATTCCATGCTGTAGTTCTTTTTTTAAAACACAGAACAGTTTTGTTACCTGTTTTCCCGCTACGTTTCGTTAGCGTTTGCAAACTTCCTCAGGCTGACGCGTCGGGGGGGGGGGGGGGGGGGGATTTTGAGTCTTAAGCCTGATTCATGCTTCTCTGTCAGCTCCAAGAGGGACAGACACGCATGGACGGAGACATTTAGCCCTCATGCTTCTCCGTCTCCTGGGGTGTGTTGCAAAGCAATTCCCCGCCAGGACACCAGAGGGCGTAGCGCTGTTCTGTGGTATCCTGTCATGTATAGGTCCAAGATAGTGTGTTTATATTGTGTTTTTGTATATAAGAGACTTTTTAACACAGACAAATTTGTCTCTCATCCTCCTCCACCTCTTCCTGCGCTCGCCAGCTCTAAACCCACGTTTCCTGTCATTTCCGTCCACAAATAAAACGCTTGCTGCGCATCTTTTCACTCCTCCAGTCACGGGGGAATTAAACGTTCATGTTTTTAGCGTTTTTTCGCGAGGTATTCTTCAAGCTCCTCTGTGTCTGCCGCTAGTTATCCTCGTCTCTCTTTATGTTTTTGAGGGCGCAACGGTGGCGGTGTAGACGACAGCGGCGTCCTGACCAATCACAAGCTTGCGTTGTCCGTCTCGACGGACGGATGTTTAGAAAAGAGAGCTCGACTCCGTCCGTCCTTGCGGAGCTCTCCAGCAGGCCCGCAAGGACGGATATTGGCGTTGCGTGTCTCCGCGCTGACGCAGACGCAGAAGCATGAAGCAGGCTTTACTCCCTGAAATTTGCACGTCTCGCCTCAGACTGGCTAACAGCAACACGACTCTACCACTGACTCTGTTTGCTTTGCAACGCTGATGTTTTATCTCACAAATAACACAAGCCTGGAGGAGTTCTGCTGTGTGGTGGAGTTGCTAATGCTAACAGTTAGCTTCTACTAGCTGATAGGGCCTGCACGACTTTATTTTTTTCAAAGTCGACAGTCAAGTAATGAAAGTCGAGTCGACTTCGACTAGTCGTTGATGACGGCATACGCCGGAAGCGGCGGGGGGGGTCGGTAGGTTCGCTGGAGTTTTTGACAATTAAAATTGCGCCCACATTTTCTAAGTTAACACCTCTCTTTTAACAACGGTAGTTCCTGCTTCAGCCCTCTCCCCCCTCCCCCTGCACAGCGGCCGCAAACTCACTGATGCGCCTGCAGCCTCTCAGAGTTCCTGCTGCTCTAAACATTAAAATAATTATTTCATTTTCTGTTCCTCACTTCTGATTACCTTCAGTGGTGTCTGTTTGTTGCAACCACCAGGTACAAAAACTAACTTGTTTTTATTTGACTATTTTTCTGTCCTGCCTGTTTATTATCTTCCTGCATCTCCTCTCAATCCTAAAGAAAAACTGCTACCTGGGTTCATATATATTCACCTCATGAGTTACCTTTGAACTGCAGTTCTAAAAGATCTACCGACTACAAAAACAGCGGAGTGCCGCTGCTCGCCGGCCGACTACAACGGGACCGTTTTTGCTGCGGAGTTCATGCCGGAGCAGAGTGGAGATAGTGGAATCTTGGGGGTGCGTCACCGGAGGACAACAGGAGATGCGCCTCGCTCCGCAGCAGCGAAATGCATCAGGCACAAATAACAGACAGAAAACATGAAAGGAAATGAGCCGACATGAACGATCGCGTGTTTACTTTGTTTTTGAGGTGGTGACACCTGATTTGGCGGTGCTCAGGACGCAATGTGTGGAGCGCACGTCAACGATCAGAGCTTTGCATGCACAAACTGGTTAAGATTAGGATGGGGGTGAGGGGAAGGTTAAATTGCAAGAGGGAAAAGGTCACAGTTTGGTTAAATGTCCGTTTTACCGCCGGTGTCAGTACCGCACAGCGCGTCGCCTCCGCCTCGATCCAGACGCGCAGGGGCTCATCACCTGCTGTCTTTTCCGAGGACTGCATCTTGTCAGTCATTATCACGTGACAGCGACTAGTTGATGACAGGCATAAAAAGTCACTACAGAGCCGTGAAGTCGACTAGTCGACTAGTCGAATAGTTCGTACAACCCCTACTAGCTGAGACGTTCTCTGCCGTTTCCTGGACGCTAAACCAACAACAGCCTTGTATGGGTGAATCCATGAATGTTGGTGACAGTGTGACGTAGATCTGTCAGGATTTTCTATCCTAGAGTTTCACTGTCTGTTTTATATCAGAAGCTACTGGAGGAGATAGGTGTAGGAGACTATTTTCATGTTCAGCCTGCATGAAACACTCAAGAGTGACCTGTTAGAATCGGAAATGATCATTAAATAATGAGCGCCTTGACGGCTTACTTTGCTCTACGTTTGTGTGTGTTTATCCTTGGTCAGGCTGTGCTGTGGCAACACATTTCCATCCTGCAGGACGCTGGGGTACTGAGAGTAAAGCTAGATAGACTCTGGTCTGCGATTTGATAGTCAGGTGAACTCTGCTGTTAAGGCGCTTATCTAATATTGAGTTGATGTCATGGCCTGCGTCTCCCTCATGTGTCTCCTTGTGTGCTCCATCCCCTTCTAAGGATCCCCTTATGTGTCTCTTTGTGTTCCTCATGTGTCCCCTGGTCTGCATCCCTCCAGATTATCCCTCCCAGGTCCTGTGTTCCTTTGGTCTCCCCTAGTCACCCCTCTGCAGTTTTTTCTATAGGTTCAGCTTTTCATTTTATTAGTCTCTTTAGTGTGTTTTCCCACCGATTTTTGTAGTTTTCCTTCCCCCTTAGAATATTAATTATTTTGCTGGCTCTTCTTGTCTTTAGGTTTCTACTCTTAGGTCATGCTAGTTATTGCTTTCACTTGGTTTCTCTCCCCACACACCTGCAGCTTATCTGCCTCTCATCATGCCCCAGTGTACATAACCCTGTCTGCGTCTCTGTTTGTTGTTGGGTCATTGTCTTGTGTCACCCTCTCTAGGTTTTGGTCTTCGTTTTTGGATATTCTAGGTTTTGTTATTGGGACTTTTTTATTTTTTGTTTTTGTCTCCCTGCCTTTTTGGATTTATTCTTAATAAAGGATTTTACGTTATTTCTCCACTCAGTGTCATCTGGTTCTCTGCATCTTTGGGTCCTAACCTCCTCTTGGCTCCCAACGTGACAGTTGATCTTAGCTAAGCAGGAGTTGAAAGCTGTAGCCAATGCTTTTATCATCTCTAGGCTAGAGTACTGCAACTCCCTCTATGCTGGCTTGAGCCATTCCTTAATGACTCGGCTCCAGCTGGTCCAAAACGGTGTTCCCAGATTTCTGTATGGAGCACGTGGGAGCATGTCTCTGCCCTCCTGACAGCTTTGGACCGGCTACCGGTGAAGAGTTACATCTTGTTCAAAATCCTGGTTCTTGGTTTTCAATCCCCGTCTGGATCAGCGCCACCATATTTAGCCTCCCTGCTGACCCGTTACGTCCCCGCAAGATCGCTGCGTTCGGGTCGGAGTGACCTTTTGGTGGTGCCGCGATCAAAGCGTAAGTCTAGGGCTGACCGTGCCTTCGCAGTCCTGGGTCCTTGGCTTCGGAACCAACGCCCACAAGAAATCAAGCCGTCCACATCGCTGCCCGCTTTAAAGCAAGGCTTAAACTGTACTTTAGGTCTGTTTCTTAGTCGTTTCTATTTACATTTTAACGTTTTTGATCACTGTTCTTTTATTGTTTTTATCTCTTTTTTCTTTTTAAACGTTTTTATCTCTGTATTTTATTACAGAGCTGTATTATTGTGCTGCTTCTTTGCAGCACCTTGGGCCCTTGATTGGGGGTGGGAAGGGACTTTATAAATAAAATGAACTTGAGCACGGCTGATTTTCATTTTTCAGAGTTCCACCTTTAACGCAGATTGTTTAGTGGATTGGTGATGAAAACAATATTTCTTGAACCTTGTCACAAGACAGATTGGGACCCTTTGTAGGACGCCACCACTGAAAGTGTTCAACTGCTTGGTTGCAGTATTGTCATAAATCAGTAAGTACCAGCTGTAATAACTCTGATTACAAGCTGAATTAATGAAACTGACGTGTTCAACATGGAAACGTCCTAAAGAGGGTTTGTAGCTTCACGTAGGGTTACAGGAGTCTATCTAAAGAGGTTGGGTTTTTGTGAACTGTGGGTTAAAACTAAGAGGTGTGGTCGGGACTCTAGATCTGAGCAGTGACCTTGGCATGGGAGCAGGCCGGCTATTGTGCAGGACGTCCCAGCTAGATGTAGAGCTGTCACAAGATCAAGAGAGAGAATCACAAGAGCAGAACAGAAAGTAAATTAGGCATTTAACACGTCAAAGACCTGATTCCTGCTCCTATTAGGCAAGATTAGGTTTTAATTATGTGCACACGGCTGATGGAGATTATAGGAAACGGTGAAAAAAAACATAACTCTGAGAATCCTTCAGTCATGGGACACCCACAGGATTAAACTCAGGTTAACATATGATTGGCTAGAAGATTACAGCAGATCACAGGTCAGTCGCCAGTTTGAACATTCATGCATAACTGGGTGGTCGGAGGTCATGATTCAACAAGGAAAATCAGAGGGAGGGGCGGTTCGTAACCTCTGATGACCAAACACGGCGTTAAAGTCTGTCTCACGTTTGCTAAAAAGACGTCTAGATGGTCCCAAAGGGAACTATTTATCTACTTATCCACTTTTGTGGAGTGGTGAGACAAAAGCGGAATGTTTTGGAACATGAGTCGTGTCGCATCTGGTGTAAAACAAACTCTCCGTGTCCAGAGGCGGACCGGCAATCTGGAGAATCCCAGATCGGCCGGCGCGCTCCGGGCCGCTGTCGTTTCATTCAATAGTTGGTAAGTATTGCAAAATATTAGCCGTGTGTTATTTCCTCTGCTCCTTGGTTAGTTAAGCAGTGGGTAAGAGTGTTTGTTTAAAATAAATAACCAGTCAGTCTGGACTAGCTGGTGTTCCTTGTCGGTAGGTAAGCCACCTGTTTACCACAACTGTTTCAAGATGGAGGACTTTGAAAAATCTGCCAAGAGAGAAGAGACAGAGTGAGTCCAGTCCGGGATCCCGCCACAGAGTTTGGGTCCAAACTAAAAACCCATCTCCAGAGTTTCCCTCTGCCCATCTGGACCTGGAACACGAAGGAGCGGGACCTTACCGTACGGTCTTCACGATGAAGCGGACGATTACCGCCAGACCCACGCAGCCGCACATCGCTCCGATCACTATGGCTGTCACCTCGCCTGTGGGAGAGATGATCACAGGCGCACAAACGTTTCCACACTAGCCAAAATAAATCAGAGCAATGGAATCCAGCTGGTTGATTATAGCCACGTCTTACCGGAGGAGAGCTCCGTTCCTGAATCTATAAAAACACAAAACACATGATGAGAAACATCTCAGCAGAGTCAGTGAAACCTGCTGTCTGTGTATGGCGTGGTATGGGGGCCAAAGTTAAGACTACTGCCCAGCAGCAGGAGGCTATATAAATTCTGAAGCAAACTACTGATCTGATTAATGATAAGCTGGCGCCGGTAACTGAGAGGCTGGCGCTGCTTACTGAAGAATAGCCCCTTTACCGGCAGTACTACTAGATACGCTAGGGACTAGCAGCCCCCGGCTGGTCATTGACTGGATCACACACTCCCTCTGCTGTCTATTAGCATGGATAGGCTAGCGTTAGCCTGGACAGGCTGGTGTTAGCATTGGAGAGACTAGCCATTAGCGTGCCTAGGTGGGCCACTAGCTGGATTTCCTACCCCCTTGATGGACCATTAGCATGGATAGGCTGGCGTTAGCATCGGAGAGGCTAGCCATTAGCGTGCCTAGGCTAGCCACTAGCTGACTAGTGACTCTCCGAGACATGCTATTTAGGACGATTTTTCAATTTATGTTGATTTTATTTGTTTTTATTCAGTCATAAAATTGCTAAGGGCGCAATCAGGACAAAAATAAATAAGAAACAAGATGATCACTAAAATAACTCCTGATTCCCAGCAGCGCTGGACTGACCATAGGGCATAGCGGGCAACTGCCCACTGGGCCGACCCTTTCATCTTTTATGGGCCGGTGTCTGGTTTTTTTTTTTTTTTTTTCTCCTGGCCTCTAGTTGTTGCGGACAACTTGTTCGCGCCGCCCCACGCGACGCCTCGTAAAAGTTGGTGGATTGGCCAATTGGTAATAATACACTCTGGGCTGGACCAATAGCCAGAGGTCTGATGCGCCCGCCAGTTGTTTGTGAATCTCAGTAAACAGACAGACGAGCTTTACAAATGGAGAACAAAAAACGGAAAGGAGGAGCGGAGAAAATTCGACTAAAAAAGAAACTGGCCCTTCAGGCTGATGCTGGCACATGTGTTAAAATCTCACAGTTGTTTGGTAGTGAAGGTTCAAGTAAAATCAATTTAGGAAGTGATGGAGCCTCAGCCCAGCGACAGGTTGGAGAAGAAAAGAGGGAGGAGGAGGAGAAACCCGAGCCGGTGTTGTGCCATAAATTGACTCGCTGCCAAAAAATGATTAGCCACCGCGGGATCGCGCACGGTTAGGTAATTGCATTTCTAGACAAAATTCCCCAGGATTTCGCCCTAAAACTCAGCATATCTAGCAATATGGACATTCAGAAAGCAAAGATAACCTCTTCCGGTACTTAAATAGATGTTTATCGCGGATATTAGTGTGGCAGTGTTTGTGGCACCCTGCGCGGGAGCACGAGGACGTGCTTGTGGAAAGAGTGAGGAAGATGTGGCAGTGTGGTGAGCATCCACAATGTCCCGATTGATCATGCGCCCTGGCTACTTGGCCAAGGAGATGATCCTTTGGCTGACTGGTTAGAGCGTATGACTTTCACCCGGGAGTCTGGGGATCGAATCCCGCCCGGGCACTCGTTTGTGCACCTTGCCACATTAGTTTTTCCAGTTCGGAAGTTGTTTTAAGTGTTGCTATTTGTCTTAAACGTTCACAATGAGGATATATTAATCCTTTTTGCAATATTTGCGATTGAAAGATGATTTGTGCCACAAACTTTGTGGTAAGAACTGGCTTTCTTTATGTTACAGCTTTGATACTAAAAAAATAAATAATGTAAAATGGCACCCTGTATTGAATGTAAACGTTGTATAAATGGAAATAAACAATTCTCCAGCGATTTAATTTTTCCCCCTTCCTTTCTTTAGTCCACTTGACATGGAGCCACAGTTAACTAGTTTGGGGCACATTTTTACTTGAAAAAAAGTATTTAAAATGATCAAGCATTGACTTTAATGACACTGTGTAGGTTACTATCTATACATTATGTTGCTCTATTTAAAAGTAACAAGATAAAAGCACTTCAGCACATAAAATTAAGATTGTCACTTGCCAAATAGACTACACCCTCCCGTTTACCTATAAGAAATGCCTCAAAATATCTTTAAATTCTTTATTGATGATTTAATTGTAGACAACTAAAATGGCATTTTACTTGCCAAAAAGTGATTGAATTGCTAAGATTTTCATGGAGGCTAAAATTGACCAAATAAGGGTTTTATGTATTATCTGTTGATGTTACTGTACTCATACTGTCTACTGTATCATCATAAACACCCCAAAAATGGCAACAAAAAAAAAGAAGATAATTTCCATTGCTAAAAATTGATTACAGTGTCCTGGTCACCTGTAAAGGGTTACATTTACCTAAATATTACTTTATTTATTATCTCTTGATGTTATTAGTGCCATCACAGGATGCTGGGTGTCTTTCACATTCATAAACACCTCAAAAATCGCAACAAATGATCATTTCCCTTGCCATAAATTGATTACAGTGTCCTGGTCACGTGTAAAGGGTTAAATTGACCTAAATATTACCTTATTTATTATGATGCTGGGTGTGTTCCACAATCATATTCGAATAAACATGAAAATATTCCGTCCGAATATCTGTTTCTTGTTATAAATATAACAGCTGGAAGGATTTACAGTTAAAATAGGAGAAACACGTGACTCCCCAGGAAGGGTCGTAACACCACTTGCCTCACGCACATAAGTGAACAAAACAAAGCAGCATGGAGACACTCCGTCTCCAACCACCTCTCAGGCAGCAGCCTGCACTCTCAAGTTCTACACATCACCAGAACATAAACAACCGCAACACAATAAAAGCAGTGTTATACAAAATGGAAGGCCTGTAGTGTTTATTCTCTTACAGTAACAACTTATCAACTTTTTGGAGGAATTTATTTGAGAATTTTTTGGTTTTTAGTAATTGTGCAATAGAAAAGTAATCACTAGATTAATCATCTAAATAATCATTAGAATAGTCGACTATTCGATAAAATAATCATCAGAATAATCGTTTTAAAAATAATCAGTTACCCCCAACCCTACTTTTTAGAATACCAGGATAGGAAGGATGGTGTAGGTTTACGTTTATTAGATTGATACATAAATACTACCAATAAGAAAGTGTACGTTGGTGTATGTCAGAAACAGCGTAAGGCTTAATGTCTTTTCAAAAAAAAAACAGGTGATGGGCCGGTCTCCAGTCAAAATGCCCGGGCTGAATTTTTGTCCCAGTCCAGCCCTGATTCCCAGTATAAAAAGACCTATATACTTATGACCCAAGGGCTATAGACCTTGGTTTAACTCATTTAAGTCTAACCAGTACAGACCTAAATACCAATATCTTGCAAATGCTGACAGCAAGAATCATACAGTGGCATTAATAACAAATAAATGCAAATAAATTGATGTTCACAAAATGTTGCATAACATTTATTGAGTCGTGTCAATGTGCTGTAGGAGAGTGCACTAGCACCGTGTCCTCAGAGAGATTAGTTATTATTTATCAGTGTGAGGAACTTATTTCTATCTGTTTCTACCTTATTTAAAAACTATTTATTTACAGGTCCATCAGTTAATGTAATAATTGTCCCAACCACAGCTGCACCCCCCACCCCCACCCACCTTGGGGGGTGCCCCAATCAGGGGCAAGCTACACGTGTGTTTAGCACGCCACACGCGCACATTTAGCTGTTTTTAGCGGCTCAGGAGTCCGCAGGTGCGGTGTGTGTGTCACTCACTCTGGTTACTCCAACAAGGAGCCGGCTCCGAGAGCTGTTTCTTTAGCGACCGACACATCACTTCATCATTCCCTTTCCTAATGTTGTGAAGAACGGTCCGGAGCGCAGGCGGAGTGTTTAGCTAACCTGCAGGAAACATCGACGACAGTTATCCAGAAAGTAGCTAAGGGTTACCAGAGATGTTTCTGAGGTGTTCGCTAGGTACTTTTAAGATTTAAAAAGTCAAGAAGGGGGTCTGAAAAGCTGTTGGAAATAGCGTCAAAGTCGCTAAGTTGGCAACACCGTGGGAGGAGCGCTTCATTTGCAACTCAGGGCAGCGCAAGCGGGAGGAGCAAATAATCGGCTTGTTTTGTTTTTTATAATCGTTCAAAAGTCCGATCGTAATCGTGATTAAAATTTGATTAATTGAGCAGCCCTACTGGGCAGTAGTCTTAATTTTATCCCCCATACCACACCATAGACTGTGAAACTGCTGATATCACAAACCTTCCACTTCAGTCCCTCACCACAAAGAGCGCTTTACACAAACGCTGTCTCCTTTTGTCCTCTTGTCTCTGCCTCCGTTTCCCTGTTTCTCTCCCATTTGTCAGACTTGTGTTGAAACAACGGAGTCTGTGTTTACTCTTTGCAAATCCCTTCCACTGAGCTAACCACAAACAAACGCAGCTTTCACTGATTTTCCAGTCCTCCCTCTGTATTTCTTTCCCCTCTATGAGTCTGTCTTCTTATGTTTACTGCTTTCTAAGTCACTGGTAGTTGGTTAAGTTCACGTGTGTGTCTCTAACTACACTTTTGGTCTCGTGTGAAGAAGGCTGCATTTCTCAGTAGTTTTATTGTCTGAATGTAAAATTATTTTATCCTCCGTTTAACTTTTTTATATAAGATTTGTAAAAATCAACAACCTGGGCTTTTCTTTGTCCCTTATAATATTTTGGCCACAACAAATGGTGGCAGCTGTGAGATTTGGACCCATGTCCCTTCCTAAAAACCTGGAGTTAAAAAAGTCAGCTTGACCTGGCATCAGAATAAAATCAGACACACATTTTATCCCTAAAGTCTGTTCAAGTGTCACTTAAAGCTGGAGTACGTAGTTTAAATGTTATGATTAGCTCAGGAGAGAGGCTGTGGGTTCAATCATGGCTCTCACCAGAGAATGCTGCTGTCGTCTAGCGATGGGTACTGAATTCGGTACTTTTTAAGGTACCGACCGAATTCCATAGTACCGACTGAGCACCGAATTCACGTCATTTGGAACGGTGCCTCGTTTCGGTACCCTTCATAACGAGAACTTGCATAGACAGTTGCGCAAGAGTGTTAGTCGTCGGTCGCTGCGAGCCAGTTGTAAACAGAGCAGCATGGTAGACAGAACGCACGCTAAAGCTTGGGTCCACTTCACTAAATGTGATGGGTAACTGGGTGATGATGAAACCAGCGACAACGATCTAAGTGAGACATCCTCATCTTAATCTGCTCCGGTAGGTAAATAAAATGTTTGAGATGAAGTTAGCTTGATTTGTTAGCTTCCGTTTCGCTAACGGTGTGTTCGCTTTCTCCTCGGAACTCCGAAGTTCCGACTAGAAGAACATGAACGTGCTCTAAAGTTTGGCTTCACTTTACTAAATGCGACAGGTGATTGGGTGAAGATAAAACCAGCGACATCGATCTAAGTGTGAGGCATCATCGTTTTAATCTGCTCCAGCAGCTAAATAAACTGTTTAAGATAATGTTAGCTTGATATGTTAGCTTCCATTGCCACCATTGTTATCAGCTAATGGTGCGTTCGCTTTCTCCTCGGAAATTCTAACTTCCCAGTAGGAAAAATCAAATGAAAAAGGACGGCCAAAGGAATGAAGGTACACAGAAAAATTTAGTTCACAGTAAAGATGTTTGCTTCAGTTTAATTATCAGCTTATAAAACTACAAGGACGATGTTAAAATACAAACAGTTGTATGTTATTTATCGTGATATTTATCAAATATGGTTATATATTGACAAAAATATATATCTAATTATAAAAGAGAATTAAAATATTAAACACTCAAAATTATCGAAAATTGGTACCGTTAAGTACCGGTATCGATTCCTAGGTACCGGAAATTTGTTTTGTGAAGTGCCTTGGAGGGTTGTAGAGCCCTAAGAAGGGGTTAAAAAAAGCAGACTGTGCAGTTTTGGCTTGCTTTTAGCACCCTCTACCAAAGTCTTTGGTACGACCCGACCAGGAAACAAACCCTGATCTCCCAGTCTCAGGACGGCCACTCTACCACCAGGACACTGAGCTGGTAGTGATTTCCCCTTAATCTAACAGCTGAAGTGTCTCCCAGCCTTCATTAGTCGCTACAGGAGCGGTTCATCACTAAATTAAACAAATCAGCTGTGTTCATGATCTAAAACAAGCAGGAAACGTGCTGGAAGCAGACGGCAGCTAAAGTGTTTTCTAAGTCCAACAGACCAGAGTGGCACTTTGAAGTTGCAAATGCGGTCTTCTGGCCACAGGAGGCTGTGGGGTCTCAGTGACAGGGTCGGTGTCCTGCATCTTTTTGTTGTTTCCCTGTTCCAACACGGTTGATTCACCTGTGCAGCAGCTCATCAAGCCTGCTAAGCACCTGTTGACTGAAATCAGCTGTTTTGAAAGAGGGAAAACACTAAAACATGTGGAATGGGACCTCGAGGACCGGAGTTTGACATCTGTGCCGTAAAAGGTCGTTTTAGCACATTCTGACTCAAGAAAAGGATTTAAAAACATGATAAAGTTGCCTAGTATCCCTTGAGAAATGTTAATATTTGACCCTGTTCTATGATGTAAAGCAGGAAATGTTGCATAAATCATGTTACCCTAAGTCCCTCCCCTGGCCTCTGTAAGCCTATCATTGACCGATAGATTCCACAAGAGAGAGCTGTCAACCAATGGCTGACACGCCTCAGTTAGCTTAGCACAACATTCCTTGACCTTGTCTCAGTATGCGTATCTCTGAACTTGTGTACGAACTTGTGTACTCGCGTCCTTGTGAGACGTCATCAACAAGGCAAGTACTGCTGCAATCCTAAGCACACATCATGCCAAGTTCGCTCAGTGTTCCCGGATGCGTTTTCGCTCCACCATTGAATCGAGGCATCCTTCTGACCATGATGTTTATTTTCGATATAGCACATGTTGTCGGTCTAACCTGCAGAAAAGGAGGCAAAGACGACTCTGTGGTTGAGAGGCTGCGTTACTCTGTAGTTGTCCTGCAGCAGCATGCTGGCTGCAGATGCAGCTTTGCTGGAGTAGAGCATCGTCTCTAACTTTAGCAGCTGGAGCAGGAAGACAGAAGACATAGAGACAGCATCACTGTGATTTATTCCGTCATGCACATGGGGGATTCAAAGAGCGGTGCAGCACAGGGGCGTCTCCAGAAAATGTTGATGGGGAGGCCAGATGGGTCCATAGAAATTTTTGGGGTGGCACACCAAATTGGTCCTTGTGGAAACTCTGGGAGATGTTTTGCATTGCTCCTTGATTCATTTTTATTATAAAAAAAACCTTTTAACTTAAAGGGACTTTACAGAGTTTTGAATTTTTATGCTCGTGATTGCCCCCTCAGGCCAAAAGCGTAACGGCAGCTTCAATAGTAGGCCCGTGCACGAGGCGCGCATGCTGTACGTGCACACTCCTTAACGAAAATAACAGCTGAGACAGTCCCTTGTGTGTGTGTGTGTGTGTGTGTGTGTGTGTGTGTGTGTGTGTGTGTGTTTGTGTGTGTTTGTGTGTGTGTGTGTGTGTGTGTGTGTGTGTGTGTGTGTGTGTGTGTGTGTGTGTGTGTGTGTGTGTGTGTGTGTGTGTGTGTGTGTGTGTGTGTGTGGCCCGGAGGACAGAGGACAGTAGAACGCGCAGCTAATTAATTAAATAATGTGGTTCTGTACCTTTCTCTTCAGCACAGCCGACAAAGGTTTAAGATGGGTCAGTCCTCCTGCATGCTCAGATCATTCCCTTCCCTTGCTTGAAAAATTGTTCCAAAATGAAAGTTGAACCCACATCTTTTTTTATCTGTGAATTCAATGCCGTTTGGCGAGTCTCAAATAAAAATTTGGGCATCTTACTGTAAAAACATATACCATTAATGTAAAAAAGAAACTTTAAATGAACTATGTTCACATCCAGAATCAAAACCAGGTCTTCTGCATGTGAGTCAGACATCTTATCAGGTGAGATAAAGCGCCAGTGACATTCTTTGTATCTGTAACTTTTATATCCTTGATGACAGCTGAAACAACGTCAAACCAAAGAACGGTTCGGAGTGAAAATGGCTATTTTGTTGCTAATTAGCAGGAAATATCTAGAAGAAAGTTCTACAGAAAGTAGCTAAGGGTCCTCAGAAATGTAGCTAGCTTTGTCACTAGGCGTTAGGAACAGCGACAAAGTGGCACTGCCTCTCTCTCTGCTGCTAAAGCTACGGATAGCAAATGCTACGGGCGATGCCTGAGCGTGAACGCGCATGAAGCAGCCTGCTCGACCCGAGCATCTCTCTTTTTCTGTGATTTTACAGAAAAACAGGCAATCACAGTAAAAATGCCAGGGCTCATTCTACAGGACCAGGGCATTGCAGGAGAATGTATGAAGAAGACATTTATTATTTCTATACATGTTTTGCCTGTCACACTTCCATAATGTCCCTTTAAGTTTTACAAACACAAAAATTTCAGTTATTTAAAATGTTATTTTTAAATGTTTTTTTTTATTATTATTTTAATACACCTGTTGCTGTGTTCACAAAAACTACGGAGATTAAAAATGTTTTAAAGTTGAGAAGCAGAAACATGTATCTTTTAATTCTGATTATTTCTCAACTCATTAATTGTCTTATTTTTATTTTTTTTTACAATTATGTCTTGAATAAATAAGAAAGATTTATAGTTTGAGTGAACATTAATATGATTTATTTACACTGGCTTTTGCTGGGGGGAACAGCAATTTTCTGGGGGTGGCCAGGGCCACCCCTGGCCACCCCTCGGGGGCGCCATTGATGCAGCAAAGTGCAGCAGGTGAGGATTTAGGTTCACCTTTAATTAAATTAAATTAAATTAAATTAAATCCTTAATTGATAACAGATTTTTATCTGCTCATGGAAAGCAAAATTTGACTGAAAATCAAGAAACAGCAACTCTGTCAGACTAAAGTGAAAACACGTCTGTTTTCTGTTTTTTAACACAGTTTAAACATTCCTTTATAGGTATGTTTACCACTTAACAATCAGAATGTTTTAAAGTCATAAACATGGAAATGAGGCATGTTTGGTTCTTTTCATGTGTCTTTAACGAGACCTGTGCCTTTGAGATTTGAACCCGTTCATGAAACACCGTCCAGATGACGCTCTGGTAGCAGGGGGGGGTTGTTAAGGAACCGTTGTATCGATAGTAGCGACCCAGATCCTCAGGAAAGAGGGACTGGACATCGAAGGCTGGGATGAAAGCTTTCTGGTCTGAAGGAGAGAGTCAGTGAAGTTGTGGCAGGCAGCAATGGGACAAAAACACAAAGATGTTCATAATTATCTTGTTTTTTCAATGAATTTGATTGGCGGAGATTACAGATGCAGCCGATGTGGGATGACCCATACCTGCATATCTGACGCGACTCATGTGGTTGAGGATGTTGTTGAAGGCCGGGTTCGTCTCGTCACCTGTCTGAGAAATCATAGCTCAGACTTACTCTGCTTAAAATCCTCCAACGGCTGCTCTCCGCTCTGAGTCGCAGTTGTGTCCTGTTGCGTTACCTCGATGAGAATTCCAAAAACAGCCAAACCGTCTTTCTGCGTCATCGCTGCGGACATGTTGGTGTAGAGCTCTGAGTTGTAGTGAACCACATGTAGCTGGAGAGAGGAGAGGAGCGAGACTAGCGTTAGCTAGTCGTGTTGTCACTGTCGGAGTTTTGCTAGATTTCTGGGAGGGAGAAGGTGACAGCGAAAAAGCGGAGTCTTCTCGGCCGTTGTGTCTCCATAAAAAAAATTTGCTCTTTCGGGAGTTTACTGGGACGCTGCTTTAAAATCTTCGCTACTAAAAATGCCCAGAAATAGCAGCGGAGATCCCCCCTAAACTCCGTAACTCACAGAGCGCTGTGAAAAACTATGCTTCTTTTTGGTCTTTGAACGTCACATTTTACATGGCACAGCTGCTCCCCCGGTCCTCCGAATGGATTAAATTACGGCGTACTTTGACAGAATAAACAACACATTCTCACACCCAAGGCGTCAATATGTGACCATTCGGGACGCCCCAGCGCATCAGGAGACGACGATCAGGGACAAACAGCTGACGCAGCGTCCCAGAGCGTCGGTGTCCGACGCCGGTGGTGAGACGGACATTAGAACTACTTGTGAACTACTTAACCTTCCCCTCACCCCAATCCTAACCTTAAGGTCACAGTTTATGGGCCTTAAGGTTAGGACTGGGGTGAGGGGAAGGTTAAATAGTCGAATAATGTCCGTGTGACCGCGTGCGTCAAACAGTGACACCAGCGGAGCCACGTGACCCAGCGTGTCCCTGATCGTCGTCTCCTGACGCGCTGGGGCGTCCCAAATAGTCATGTATTGACGCTTGGTCACACATGTCATATTTTGACTCCTTGGGTGTGAGAATGTGTTGGAATAAAATGAAAGTATAGAGACGCAACAGGTGGAGAGGACTGAGTCCCGTCCCAGAATGTCCCGGAGCTCCTTTAGTGGAAACACGGATGTTTGTAAGAACTTTTATGATTTTTCTTTTTCTCTGGTTTCAGGTGTTTTAAGAAGGTAGAAACACTTTCTAATCGGCCCTTTTCAGAATCGTTGTTAGCTCATCTGTCCAAGTGGAACTAATCCATGATTCTACAAACTCAGGTTGTTCAAGAAGCTTTCTACGACAGTTTCCTGTTGATGTTCCTCACCTTTCCACAGCAACCCTGCATTTTTAAGGCCTACATTTTAAAAGAACAAAACAAAAGGAGAACAAAGAAAGTTTATGCGAAGTTATCTATTGATTCAATAAGGTAGCTAAGATGAGTTTTGGTCACTTTTGTTAAAAGTGACTCGTTTTGTATTATTTAAACCAATTTTGGGTTAACTGAGTCAAAAACTCGTCTTTTCATTTCTACAAACCCGACTCTGTTAGTTTACCTGCTCAGTGGCAGATGGCTGGGGTCTGAGGGGGCTTATCGGCACCCTGTCCTCGTCACTTTTTATACTTCAGTTTGGTCTTTGCTTTTTCCACCTTCAAGGGACTTTACGGAGTTTTGAATTTTTACGCTCGCGATTGCCCCCTCAGGCCAAAAGCGTAACGGCAGCTTCAATAGTAGGCTCGTGCATGAGGCGCGCATGCTGTACGTGCACACTCCTTAATGAAAATAACAGCTGAGACCGTCCCGTGTGTGTGTGTGTGTGTGTGTGTGTGTGTGTGTGTGTGTGTGTGTGTGTGTGTGTGTGTGTGTGTGTGTGTGTGTGACCCGGAGGACAGAGGACAGGAGAACGCGCAGCTAATTAATTAAATAATGTGGTTCTGTACCTTTCTCTTCAGCACAGCCGACAAAGGTTTATGATGGGTCAGTCCTCCTGCATGCTCAGATCATTCCCTTCCCTTGCTTGAAAAATTGTTCCAAAATGAAAGTTGAGCCCACATCTTTTTTATCTGTGAATTCAATGCCGTTCGGCAAGTCTCAAATAAAAATTTGGACATCTTACTGTAAAAAAAATATACCATTAATGTAAAAAAGAAACTCTAAATAAACTATGTTCACATCCAGAATCAAACCCAGGTCTTCTGCACGAGAGTCCGACATCTTACTAGGTGAGATAAAGCGCCAGTGATGTCATTTGTATCTGTAACATTTATATCCTTGATGACAGCTGAAACAACGTCAAACCAAAGAACGGTTCGGAGTGAAAATGGCTATTTTGTTGCTAATTTGCAGGAAATATCTAGAAGAAAGTTCTACAGAAAGTAGCTAAGGGTCCTCAGAAATGTAGCTAGCTTTGTCACTAGGCGTTAGGAACAGCGACAAAGTGGCACTGCCTCTCTCTCTGCTGCTAAAGCTACGGATAGCAAATGCTACGGGCGATGCCTGAGCGTGAACGCGCATGAAGCAGCCTCTTAGGTGTGTTCTTGCTGTGTCTTTCTAAATCCATGCTTTCGTTCTTTTTTAAACACAGAAACAGTTTTGTTTACCTGTTAGTAGCTACAGTTTCGCCGACGGCTGCCGGCTTCTTCAGCGTCAGCCTGAAGAAGCCGGCAGCCGTCGGCGAAACTGTAGCTACTAACAGGTAAACAAAACTGTTTCTGTGTTTAAAAAAGAACGAAAGCATGGATGAAGCAGCCTGCTCGACCCGAGCATCTCTCTTTTTCTGTGATTTTACAGAAAAACAGGCAATCACAGTAAAAATGCCAGGGCTCATTCTACAGGACCAGG